AAGTTCCATCTCGTGCCCATGTAACTGTTACTTCTCCAGCAAAGTCAGGATCGGTTTCAGCCCATTTATATTTAAGTAAAACTGATCCTGTTTCACTTTCTCGAATCTATATGATTAATTTCAAGCAATTGAATCGTGAAAAATTTAATTATTTTATCAGCTTATGAGTGTTTTTTGAAATATATCTTTTTGAATCACTTACCATAAAGAAGAAAAGAAAGGAAACTAATAAAGTAGTTTTGAGGATCATCTTTGTCTTTATGAAACCTTGTGATTTATGTTAAAATATTTAGTATTCAATGTGAGAAATCGTAGTCAAATTGTTCACTTAAGTTTGAAAAATATTTAAGAAACTTAAAAAAAATATGAATGAAATATTTAGTTAAAAAAAGAATCGAAACAGATTGATGAGAAGATGGGGGCAAAAAAAGAAAAGAAAAGATAAGGTATGTCCTTTTTATCAATCTTTTACCCAAAGAAGTTTCATCAATCAATCCATAAATAGAATTGTTTCAAGGATCATATAAGATCATTCTTTCTTTCAGCGAAAAAGGTGGGTTCAAAATTGCTTTATCGAACTTCTTTCTTACTTGACTCCATCGACACTTCATAGTAACCGAGCCGTAGAAATCGTTTCTGAGTAACGTTAAGTAAATAGATACGGAGCAGACCACAGGAATTTGGGGAATTAAAAGCTGTGTTGAACGTTCCATGATCCTATAAACGACGTCGATAAAGTGACTTCAGCTTTAAATATATTTTCATCGAATTTTTTAATAAAAAGTCTTCTATGCTCACTGACACTCAATCTCATCAAGATTAAAGCTTTGATACATTTCACCGTTTACTCAAAAAGACTTCTTTATCATCTTTCTCGTCTCGTGATTTGCGTAAGATTCGTTCCATAAAAGGTTGAGAGGTCTCAGACTCGACTATAAGATGGTCGAAAAAGTTTTCAATCAAAGCATTACAATCTTATTGAGCTCAAATTGATGATATTGAACAATACCTTTACTATGGATTGTGTTGAATATTGTGATGGATAAACAGGCTCATCTTAGCATCTCATTATGAATCTTTCACTTCTCATATCAAATATGAGGGGTCAAATGTTGTCCCTGATCCTGAGTGCAGAGAAGTTTTATTTTACAAAAATGAGATTCATATCAAACTTAGACAATAGATATTTGAAGAGAATATGTGACAGATTGCTTCAGGATTTAAAATCCAAAGAAAACTTTATCAATGGTCATACCAAAGCTATAGTTTAATCCTAACAGTTAGAATTTTCTATATGATTTGGTATTGCAATATCTTATTTAGTTTTGAAATGCATTTGTTCACTTTGAAAGATCAATGAGATTGATAAACAAAAAGTGAGATCACTTTTTGTATTAGGTAACAAAAAAAGGTTGCCTTCATATTTCCTGGCGCCCTATGTTTGATACATGAAACATGATGAACATAGCAACTCAAATTGATTTGTGTTGTGTGTCTTCCCCAAATTATGCCAATAACTTTACCTACTGGACTTCCTTTCTTGACACAATGATGAGTATCTTCAAATCTTGGTTTATTCTCTTAATCTCAGTCCTAAACTTCCAAGGTAGTAACAACACATTCAAACTAAAAGGTTTGGTGATCTCTCAATATTCAGAAAATCTTACATTGACTGATCATGATAATTCAAAATCACGTCTCATTTGTTAATAATTTCTGTCCTCTGATATACTCATTGCCACTCAAAACAGTGTTTCTGTCCTCCAATATACTCATTGCTACTCAAAACGGTGTTCCTGTCCTCCATTGCAACTCAAAACAGTGTCCCCGTTGTGGTAATCAATTTATAGGATCAATCAAGAAAAATTTAAAATTTTTATTATTACATTTTGATTCAAGAGATTTTCTATTACATATAATTTTAATCTTATTTTTGATCTTACTTTGCTCTCAAAGTTGATTTAGTGTGTCTTAGTCATTAAATTTGGTGCATTATATTCTTCAAAGACTTCAGTTTAGAATTATGAAATGGTAAACAAGAATTAATAATCATTCCAGAATTTATATATCACATTTTGAAAGAAAAGAGTTATCAAAGATTGTAAAAAGGAAAAGACAGAACATTGATTAGTAAAGTCAAGGGATTTTTTAGGAAGAAGATCTTAAGAATAGAGAAGGTAGATCATAAGATAATATGGATTCAAGATTGAATTAATCTAAGAATGATTGACTAGAAGATAATAAAGATACTCACATTGAAAGTTGTGAAGAAGTGGGGAAATGATGGTACTTTAGGTTTTTCAGAGTGAATAAAAGCAAATATGAAGATGGTGATGACAGGAATGGATTCTTTGGATGATTTGAGTGGTGTTTGATGAGAGAAAAAAGTGGCTTACTTGGAAGGAAGATGGTGTGAATCATAATTGAAGTACATTTTGAATGAAAATTCAAATTTGAAGATGTGTGACTTGACCAAAATTGAAGTTTTTTCTTTGAATCCTAAAGTTGAGAGTCAATCAACCGACTGTCTCATCTTCACTGCTTGTCATCTTGATCTCAATCAATTCCACACACTTCCTACTGATCACTTTCACCACTATTCCTTTCCAATTGAACAAGGAAAAACAAATGTAAAGTCCTCAATCTATGTTTGAATTTCTTTCTTGATAAAATCGTTTTACTCAAAGAGACTGTTTTGATTCATACAAAAATCACCAACTATTGTATCAACCCATTCCTTCACACTTTGATTCTTATGATTATATTCAATTTTTTTGTAACTGCAATGAGATACAACACTTTTTAAATCAAAAGCTCCTCTTGGAATCATACACGCAAAAAGTGTATTGCTTCAACCAAACTAAGCAACCCCCAAATTGAATCCAATAATTGGGTGTGGGCTCTTTTTCCGCCTCAAAAGCACTGCCTGGGGGCTTCCTGTAGGCCAATCACAACCATATGTAAACCAATTTCAAAGGCAACCTGAAGGAAAACCACGTGGGGCCTACCTACAGGCTGTCCAACCCTCTGCAAGGATAGACTGCTTGAGGGCCGCCCATTGGCCGTCTGTGCCTACCCATGGTGTATATGTATGGCACCAGTAAGGAGTGAATGAATTATAAAGAGAGAGAGCAAATTTTTTACCTTCCCATTATGAAGTGGATATGAGAAAGTTCAAACTGAAAATGAATCATTTTCAAATTTCTGACTTTGAAGTAAAAACCTGCAACAACACAGATCTTTGAAAAACTACCATCAGATTAGGGGGTGTCAAGTTGAGATTCTTATGACAACAATCCATAACAAAGGTTGCCACAGTAGTGTAAACTTATGTTCAGTTTATGAAGATGGGATGAACATAAAGTCTCCTGTTTTGATACAACAATAAATTAACAAAAAACCCTTGCTTGCAATTCAAAATCATGATCTTTCTTTTTACAGCAGGAAGCCCTTTTTAAGTCAAAATTGTAAAAAGCTTGCCACATCAAAACTTTTTGGTTGTAAAAATCTCAACTTGGCACCCCCTATTGTACAACAGCTGTAAAATAGGGGGGCTCAGGTCAAGACTTTTAAGGTGTTTCTTTAAAAAATTGGGGAAAGTTTTTTACAAAACCGTGTTTTAAAGACTTTTCCCAATTTGTAAAAAAGTACTGTAAAAATCTTGACTTGAGCCAAGACAAAGTTTTCAACTTTCTCAAATTTCAGTGGTAAAATCAATTTTCTTTGAATACATTCTCTTTTGTCAAATCGGACACTTCACAGATCTTTTGCTGAGCAGAAAATTTACGCAAATTTGGGATGTCCTAAAACCTTTCCCAATTTCATAAAATTTTGCGTAAATTTTATGGAATTGGGAAAAGTTTTTTACGCTCATAGCAGCAAAATTTTTTGACTTGAGCCCCCCTAATGTCTCCTGTTTGCATAAAATGTATGTAAACCTATAATACAGTGGGAGAAAATTTCAACAGTAAAGGCCGTAAAAAAACTCAAACTTGACACCCTTTAATAGTTTGGCTCACAAAGAACCATATACAGAAAACTATGCACATGTACGTACATATACAGTCAAAACTCTCCAAAGACATAACTCACTAAATCCATAAACCCTCCAAAGCCATATGGTATGGTTTCCACATTCGCGGTGCAGGCCAAAATCTGAATTAAACCCCCTATTCTCTTAATCCATACCAAAATGGGCAGAAAAAATGGTTTTTATCCCCGCTAAACCCATACTTTCCCGCAGAGCTTCCCAGGAAAATGAATTTTTTTTCCAGTTTGAGAGAGGCTATCATTGAGATCCATTACCACACTCCCTGGGCTCACAATGCCTCCCTATATACTTTGACATGGGAATACAATGTACAGTAGCTCCAAGAAAGATACGACACTAGTTTACCCCGCCGGCCCCGACTGGTTTACTTACACACCTGTAGTGACTATACAGACTTGTGTCTTGGCAGATTTTTATCCAACGATGGGCTTTTGATATGCAATATGTTGAATCAAAAGGCTCGCTGAATCAACTGAAGCCTTTCCAAGAGGACCAATCGCTTCGGACGGTCAAAAGTCGGGTAACGGTCTTGGCTTTCTGGACTCATCATCATCAATTCTTGAAATTGAGCTCGAAATCAATGAACCGAAGGGATTAAATTCTCAGAGTGGGACTCAAGTTACTCTTGAGAGCTTTTCAAGTCAGAAGAGGGGACGATCTTATAAACCGAAACCAAAACAACGAGTCTCAGAGACTGGGATTATTACGGCTCGACTTCATCAAGATATCTTTGCTATTAATCATAGAAAAGGAGATACAGGATCGGTGGTTTGGCGGGCTAGTGTTGGTTTTGCTGAAGTTTTGTGGTACGATTTGTTGTATCCACTCAATAGAGGGATGGATGTGTTGAGCTGTTGAATGTGTGCTTGCATGATGAATCACTTGCAGTCTGGTGGAGCTGTATTGTAGAACCATGAACCCACTTCAGTGACAACATTGGCATTCACAAGCGTCTGTAGCCTAGTGGTAAAGGCAGCACTCTAGTATGTGTCCCAGTTCTTCTGGGGTCATGGGTTCGAATCCCATCAGACACATAATTACATTTTATCATCTCTAACAGGTTATGAGCCCAGAGCCTGCCTAAGTGTATCTTGCTTCCAATAGAGATGTTATGTAATATGTGAAGCTGTGACATAAGTCCATCAACCCCTGTAAGACTGCTTCTCTCTTCTCTCATGCAGCAAGGGGGAGTGTTGAGCTGTTGAATGTGTGCTTGCATGATGAATCACTTGCAGTCTGGTGGAGCTGTATTGTAGAACCATGAACCCACTTCAGTGACAACATTGGCATTCACAAGCGTCTGTAGCCTAGTGGTAAAGGCAGCACTCTAGTATGTGTCCCAGTTCTTCTGGGGTCATGGGTTCGAATCCCATCAGACACATAATTACATTTTATCATCTCTAACAGGATGAAGTTTGTGGCTCATTACTCGATATGAACTTATTAGTCTCATCATCACGAATTCTCAAATTGGGTTCAGGTACTGGTGCTTTGGCCGTCCTATGTAACAAGATGTTTCCAAGTGATTCTAACTCTAGTTGGACAGTGTCTGATCAATCAACAAACAGACAGATAAGATTTGAGGAAACCAGAGAAGATTTGATTTCTTTAGGTAGGGGGAGAGAGAGAGAGAGAGGGGATCGGATTGGAAGGTAGAGTGAAGTGATAAACCAGAACTACAATGTAAAAGAAAAGTTCAAGTAGATAGGTAAATTCAACTTCGATCCATATAATTACAAGGATCGATCAAGTGTGCTATCATGAAGGAGAAAATCTTGATTACAAGAGTTCGCTTCATCCTTCTACCTGCTATCTCAAGAACAGACTACAATGTGATTTCAATGTAGGTTCTATGTTTAAGAAGGGTCGATGAGATGCAATGAATTGAAAATCTTAAGACGATTGAATGAGAATTTGAGATGGACCTCTGTCTGAGCAGGTCTGAGCGACAAAAGATCAACTTAGACATGAGCAAGAAGACTTCAAATCATCAAGTTGAGTATCTAGTTGACATCATCTGGCGATGGAATCGTTTAAACAATCTTGAAAAGGGTGAATCAGATCATATACAAAGTTGATCGAGTTGGATGATGTTGCCGATCAGAGAGAAAGATGGGACTGCATCCGCTTCCGACCGGCCTTTGTCTATTGATGTTGAGGGTTTGAAGAGTTCCATAATGTGATTGAAATAGAAACAAATGATTAGAGGAATGATTGAAGATCAATGAAGAAATGGTATTGTTTGACTTACGGAGTGGTTCAATCACTAACTTCATTACAAATAATATCAATGGATTGATACAAAACAAATCACCACCGAGTATGACCTCCCTCGGCTTCTAGCACAGCCTGAATACGATGAGGCATTGATTCTACAAGTAAGCTGAGTTTTTCGTCTCCAATACGTTCCCACTCATATTCCAAAGCCAAACGCATTTCACCTGCTGATTTTACCGGTGGATTTTTTGTTGAGACCAAGATTTTCATATCACGCCAGATGTTCTCGATCGGATTGAGATCTGGACTGCTGGCAGGCCATTCAAGCTTTGAGATCACATGATTTGTTCGCCACACTTTGGCGATTTTGGATGTATGAACTGGTGCACCATCTTCCATCAAGACAGGTCTTTCCGAGCTGATATCAGAGGTGAAAAAAGGTAAAATACTACCTTCATAGACTTGAGTGACAAAGTCGGTGGCAGTTCGTTTTTTTGGCTCCATGAAGATCAAGCGGAGCTTGTTAGTGTTGACAAATGCCCCCCAAATCATTACAGATGTGCGGCCACTCTTGAAGGTCGGGTCAAGACATTGATGGTTGTATCGTTCTCCGCTTTTGCGCCAGACTCGAGACCTTGTTGAGCGTTTACCAACTTCAAAGGATGACTCGTCTGTCCAGATGATGTTCTTCCAGTCATTCACTGTCCAATGTTGGTGAGATTGTGCAAACTCAAGTCGCTTCTGGATATGTTCGGGCTTGAGGTAAGGCTTGCAAGCTGGAACTCAAGAGTGATAGCCAAGTTTGTTTAAAATAGAGCAAGCGGTGGATACACTGAGGTTGAGATTAAGTTTGGTGATGATTTGCCCAACTGGAGCGCGTCGATTATGTTTGATCTCCTTCTCCAGATCCCGAACGTTGTGAATTGACAACTTTGAAGGTCTTCCAGGAGGTTTGGTAGGCGCCACAATGCCAGTCCTTTTAAATTTCTGGATGACCGAAGCAACTGTTGATCGTGGATGATGTAGGCGTTCAGCTATCTGGGTCCCACTCAGGCCTGCCTCGTGAAAACCAATTATACGACCTCGCTCATCGCCTCTGAGATTACGAGTCTTCATGCTGGAACAGATGCGATAGATACAGATTGAGAGTTGGACAGAGGTGAGACAAGACTTGGAGGGGCTTTTGCTACCTTACAAAGACTACCCAGGACAGGATATCATATGCGATCATTTCAATTATGTAAACCAGTCGGGGCCGGCGGGGTAAACTAGTGTCGTATCTTTCTTGGAGCTACTGTACATCACCTCAACCACCACCAATGTACAAACATCTGAAGATTTCTTTCGCCTTTTTTACAAAGAGTTTGCTTTAGATCTAGCTGAGCACGGCCTGGAGTTCATCAACAACGAGTTAAAGTCCAAGATTGAGTGTCTCAAAGTCAAGAAAATTGTTGGCAATTTAACTGAAGAAGAAGAGTCATGGATTGACAATGAAGGCAATAGTATTGACAAGACAATGACTCTCAACAATCTTGTAACCCTTGATCCTGATATTCCGAGTCAGATCACAAAGGATATGTTCTCATCAATATGGAAACTTGTTGGTGCCTGAAACAAAGCAGCAGATATCAATACTCCAGCAGGAACTGATCCCTTTCAAGTCACTCAAGCTACTACTGTGTCACAGGGAATGGACTCAACATCTTTGACTCACACCACTACGCCCGCTTCTCCGCCAACTGCTTCCAAGGTTAAAAAGGGTCGGCCTAGAAAGAAAGATGCTCTGGCTTCAGTCAAATCTCGTGGACTTACTGGAAAGGCACCAGCAAAAATTGCAGAGAAGATCACTGTTCTTGACTGGTACCTCTCACATGGCAAAAATCAATCTCTTACCGCAAAACACTTCAGCAAAGTCTTTCCCCATCTTTGAATGACACAACCACTTGTCTCTGCTTGGGTGAAGTCCACAGAGAAGATACGTCAGCAAGGTACCAATCACCACCCCTCAATGAAGCGTGGCCGCGAGATTCAATATCCAGGAGTCGAGAAAGATTTAGGTGATTGGACTAGTCAGGCAATTTTGGCCGGTGTTCTTATTGACGGTGATGTTATTTGAGAGAAGTGGAAAGAATTTGCCCGACTCCATCAAGTTCCTAGTTCTGAGTGGCTCCAGTTATCTAACGGATGGCTTGGCCAATTTAAGCACCGGCACCGGTCAAGCATGGTGAAGGAGCTGCTGCTGATCCTCAGACAATTGCTGATGAGGTTGCTCAGGTTTTGAAAATCAATCAAGAGTTCGCCTTAAAGGACATCTTCAACATGGACGAAACTGGCCTTTTTTATGCGTGCGTGTCTCCTTTCTAACTATGTTTCATCTTTTTCTCATGTTCTTCTCTTTTAGAATGCCACCGGATCAAGGCTTATCAACTGGCTCAGCACATGGTTTGAAGTCCAAGAAGAACCGGCTGACACTCGCATTGACTGTCAATGCTGACAGAATGGAGACTCTTGAACCTCTTTTTATTGGTCATGCTGCAAAGCCTTGATCCTTTGAGCGACGAAGTGGAGCCAATCATGGCTTCATCTACTATCACAACAAGAAGGCTTGGATGAACCACTCAATCTTTCATGAGTACCTCTTAGGTCTCAATAACACCTTTGCCTCACAAAATCGAAACGTTCTACTATGGGTGGACAACTTTGCTGGCCATACCATCCCTGACAAAGGCTTAACACATGTTTGAGTAGAGTTTTTCTCGCCTAATCTTACTCCACACGTTCAACCTCTTGATGCTGGTATCATCAAGAGCTTAAAGACAAACTACAAACATCAATACCTCAGTCGAGCCATCAGGCTATTTGATACTGGCACCACGGTCACCAGCAAAGTCTATGAGATCAATCAACTCACTGCTATGCGTCTCATCATCAAAGCATGGAAAGCTGTGACGAGTCAAACAATCCGTCACTGTTGGCTACACACTGGGATCATCGACTCTCACAATAAGGGGTAAACTCTCCTCATGTTATAGTATTTGATACTATCTTTGGCTTTCTCAATGACTGACTTTCCTTATTACAATCTTATTCAAATCAGACCTTTGTTGGGTACCACTCTAGATCCGAAAGGTGGCGAAGCAGAGAACGATCTGGCATCTGATATACAACATCTTGAAGATATCGGGGCCGTTTCTCGCATGAACCAAATGTCGATCGAGGAAATCATACACCCCCTAGACAAGCTCCAAAATCAATGGGAGCTATGGACCCCAGAAGAACTTTTCCTCCAAAATCAGGAGGATGCGGTGATGATTGCTGCCGCTGAGATCGAAGAAGCCAACGCTGAGCCTACCTCCGATGCGGTTGAAGTTGTGAGACCAACAACAAAGGATGCACTGAACCATATGTGCCAGTTGACGCTCTACCTTGAGATCGATGCTAGTTTTATGGCTGATGCATTGGATGTTCTATTAGGAAAGTATTCGGCACAAGTTCGTTCTAAATTAATGTTAACTGCTCAGCAATCTAGTATCACCAATTTCTTTACTTGTCCTCCTCCACCCTCAACCTAGACATCTCTGTGTGCTCATAACCCAGTGTCACCTCTGCTGCTCTTCTGTTCGAGTATGTTTGTTCAGATTTGCAATACACAGCCCTCTTGAACCATGATTACCATGGCTTAACTTGAGTTTCCTTTCCTGGAAACGCCATACATATGTGGGATTAGAGGGCAACTCTAAGGAAGCCATACTTTTATGGAAATAGAGGGTTTTTCGAGCAAAACCATAGATATACAAAAACCCTTTGAACCCATAGC